AAATATTTATATTTGTATTTTTTTTTACAGTTAAACTATATAGGGCTGCTCAAGTAGGTGATGTAGAAATAATTGTAAATAAATAGTTGGCATATTACTGAGATGTAGGAATGCAAAAGATGGCAAAAACCATATAACATTGGAACAATTGGGTGAAGATGTAAAAAGCAGGTATATTATGAGATATGCCCCAGTTGCATCTTAACCTATTGACCTATTTTAGACCTTTCTAGATTGAGCCATGTTTTCACCATGGCTTTTGACTTGGCAATTTATATGTCTCTTCCTGTTGTATGAAGTATGATAATTATAGTCAGGTAGGTTTTTGTATGCATTTGAGTTTCAGGGGGCAAAGCTCTTTTTCATTAGCACAGGGCACATATGGGTAATCAGATAATTCTTTACCCTTTGGATATAGCATCTTTTGCTGCATTTGATAGATTAAATCGATACTTTTGATCTATATCCAACCTGTTGCTTTCGAAAGAAAAAAGTTAAATATAATCTAGAATAAGTCTTGCTTGTATCACAACAGTTTTTTTTTAATTTTTACTTCGTCTATACCAGTGGTTCCCAACCTTTTTTATGTCCCACATCCTTAGGAAATGTTTGATTAATGTTCACACCCCCTACAAAAGTAATATCACATTTGAAGATGAAGATACCTAATTTCTAATGCATGTGAACAAATTGAACTTAAAAAAATAAGCTTTAACTCAGTGCACAAAATTGTTGCACCCCCTGGAATTCTATCTCACACCTTCTGTGGGTGTGGGCACGCCAGGTTTGGAACCCCTGATCTATACTCTAAATGATACCTTTTTTTTTTCTTTAGATCTCCAGTGTTAAGCCGATCACAGCAAGTTGAAATGAACACAGATCTCATTACCTACTTGAAGAAACATTGTGCTGGTGATGTTTGCATCTTAAATGCAAGAGAATGGGTTAAAGAGCATGCTGTCATGTATATCAACAAAGAACCCTTACCTTCCACTGTTAAGAAATCAGATATTCAGAAATCAGAATGTATTCTCACTAGACTCTGGATTTACAGTCATCATATTTATAACAAACAAAAAAGAAAAAATATAATTGATTGGTCCAAGGAACTCTCTCTTTCTGGATTCAGTATGCCTGGAAAACCAGGTATTATTTGCATAGAAGGCCCACAGAAGATGTGTGAAGAATTTTGGGCAAGGTAAGATTTTCTCTAAGTTCTTTGTTCCATAAAGTAACAAAGTGATGGGTTTCTATTTTGGTCGATTGAGTTCAGAAACAATATCTTTCATTCACTTGTATTGGAGGGAAAATTCTGTTCAGGAGGGTTGAACCCTTCCTTACCAAGACAAGAGATTGGAAAGATATTTTTCCCTGTTCAAATTAAAGGAGACATTTAAGTCATTCGTTTATTTATTCATTCAATTTATAACTTGTGTAACTCAAGGCAGTTACAATAATACATAATACAAAAGTAAAAGTAAATATGAAATTAATACTAAAATTTTTGGGTGCTCTTCTAAAAGCAGAGATAGTGGGGGTTTAAAAACAAATATTACGGAGCACATTTCTCAGCCTGGGAGTGGAGCAGAAAAAGGCCTGTTTCCTTGTGTAGATAGAGCTTATGACAATGGGGACAATAGCTTCTCCTATGAACTTTTATCACAGTTAACATCTTCTATTGGTTTCAGTGGGAAATCACTAGTAATAACTGTAACTTATACTTGCTGTGTTTCATGAATTTGCAATACTCTCATTGCATTTAGAATAAGAAGATTATCGTGGCAACGAATTTTAATCCGTCACAGAGAAGACATTTCCATAGAAGGGACTGAAACTGAAATGGAAAAGCAAAAGAAGTTTATGACTTTTGAAGAAAAAATATTTGATGCACATGGTGCCAGAGGAAATCACATGGATTTGGGGCAATTATATCATTTTTTAATTGAAAAGAGATGTGGTGAAATATTTCAACTGTATTTTGGAGTTGAAGGACAATAGGTTAAGGGGAAAAAAATTAAATGTCTAAAGGAAGTAGTAGGCTTTTTTTCTCAAAACTGCTTTTATTTTAATAATAGAATTCTAAAACTTGTATTATTTTATATCTGAAAAATTAGTGCTTAAGCTATTTTGGTTTAAGGAGGTATTTTTAATAAAACAATTTTTGATAAAACAATGCAGTTGGAACTGGATGCCTGAAATGTTATTTGTCTTGGTACTTTAAGCACAGCAGGTTTTCTGTCTATATTATCAACACCTCATCACTGTTTCTACTTCAGAAATAGCAAATCTGTGCTTAGTCAGGGATAGAAGAAATGGCTATGTGTCAGACTTTTGGGTTTCTTAGATTACCTGTTTCTCATCATATGGGCCTCCAGTATATGATGGCTAAAATTAAGCCTTTTGCCAGTTTTACATTAAAAATATTTAGTACTTTTTGATTTTAGTGTCATGTGGCTAAATAGTTCAGTTTGCTATGGAATCCATTCGCATTGCGAGATGTTTGAGCATGTTGTTTTATTTGGAGTATCGGCCAGATCTTTTAGGGCTTAACATTGTCTTGAACCAAGGGGCGCAACTCCCCCCAATTATCCAGCAGTTAATCAGGAACCTACTGAACATCCACTAATAAATTTGCAAAGAACTCCATGATTCACAGGTACATCCGTGAACCTAAACTGAAAAATATTTCAGAGTCCAAATAATCTTTATTCCTGTCTCCTCCTTCCTGTGGCTTAGTAACCAGATTGTGAATTAAAATGTTTAACTTTTCAAAAATGGCAAATAGCATCACAGCATTTGATATGGGTAATTTTAGTACTTGATCTAAAGAAGTCTGAGTTCCAGACTTTGAAATATATGATCTATGTGGGGGTTTTATTTCATTATATATTGGATAATATTTCTGCATAGGTGGAGATGAGCATGAAAGGAAAAGTGGAAATAGCAAAAAGGGGAGGTAGCAAAATAGAGGTAGGGTTTTCTCATTCAGTGAACCACTAATGTAGCAAGCATATTTTAGTCTACCATATGAAAATCCATCTTGTGGTTAATTAAGGCTACTGCACCGTAACTAGGCTGCTAAAATCCTGACTATAGATGGCAGCAAAGGTTTATCTAGTAGTCATCGGGATTTTACGGAAGTATACACATATGATAGCCTTGGTTTATGGTTCAGTGTTGATATCCTGAAAATCAGTAAGTCATGGTTAACTTACCCTGAGTGAACCAGGGCATATACCAACAAACTCTTCGGTTGTAGTTCTTATTAATCTTGTGGAGTATCACAATTAATCCCCTTGAAGAACGTTTTTTGAGCTTTTTATAAAAACAGCGTAAATTCTGTTGTTACCACAACATGCTCTCACCGTGTGATCACAAGCCATCTCGGTGTAAAAAGCAATTGGCACTGCTTGGTGTACTCAGAAATGGGGAAAACGACCAAGCGGTGGGAAGGACCGTAAGTAGTTACCAAAAACATGAGCTGACTCGAAGGCACAAATCATCATCATCTTAAAAATGGCAATTACTGGACACCTGACACTAAGAAAACATCTAGCAAATATAAAAGCAAAAAGTTTCTGTTGGACTCCTTTCCGTAACCACAGTATATCACCAGCCATTCTCTCTCTCTCGCTGCCTCCTTCTGTAGGCGGAGGGAGGGGTACTAAAAGGGAGGAGCCTCCGGTGTCCAGCTTCCTTCAGCCATCACTTTAACTTCCGTTTAACCCGGAAATAGCCTTTTCCCCCTTCCTGTGCGTGGGACCAACTGTTTTCACTCCCCCTTTTTTTTCGGTGTCTGACAGCGTTGCAGACGCTATCATGGGAGGCAAGAACAAGCAGCGAACTAAGGGCAACGTACGGGTGAGCGAGTTGGTGCCGCTGGGAGGGAATACAATATTTCTGGAGAGGGGCCACCTCGGGTTGCCTTTCCATAGCTCTCGAGCTTGGGAGAAGCGTGGAGGACGGCTTCTCCTAACTTTTGATTAAAAAAAAAAAAAGCTGCTTCTTCCGCACCAGAAGGGACGTTAGATCAGTTTCAAAGGTGCTGCTTTCGTTCTCACTGCAAAGGGGGTCTCATTTGTTAGAGGCTTCTTCTCTAACGAGACATCACGGAACCGGTCTTATAGCCTTATACCTGCCTGGTGGTTCTCTCCCTTTAAGGAATACGGATTGCTAAGTGTGCCTAAACTTTCAAGAGGGGAAAAGAACCAGCTATATTTCGGTCCTCTAAAAAGTACATGTTCCGGAACTTAAATTTTTGAGATGTCAAAAAATAAATTCGGATGACAAATTCTTACTATAGGACGTTGATTTTCTTGGTTGTGTCATGTGCACATTTTTACTACTCTAAATGTATACTGCTTTCTCTTAGTTTCAAAGATTTAGGGTTAGATCCTTGTTAGTGATTCAAATATCCTGCTGTATCTGGAATGCTTTAATATCATGTGTGATAAATGTTAAACATTCAGCAACTATTTTCTCAAAGTTTGATTCACCTTACTGATTTCTGTCCCATGTTTTCAGTGGATATTGTGTATATGTGGGGCCCGTTTGTTTGTTTGTTTTCAGTTAAGTTCTATCCTAAATATTTTAAAATGAAAACCCTGTAGCATTGTGAAGGTAATCAGAGAGTTAAATTGTGATAGGAATCTTAGCTTTGTTCAGCTATTTTTCTGGAATTCATCTTAAATGCAGAACTCTAGATAGATACGTTATGAGAACAGGAAAAAAGTGGTGAATGAAGACAAGAAGAAGGAATGGTGGTTAGGGATTAGAATATTAATTTACAGAGTATTTAGCCAATGAGAAGTTCATTCATAAAGCCAGCCAATTCTGATATATAGTTAACTATATACTCCTTTCTTTGGGAATCAGTTCTACTCTTCTACATGTACTACTGCCTTGAGAGGTATGGGTTTTGACAGCATGGGAAAATTTGGTGACAGCACAGTAGTAATAATTCAAATGTGGAATTCTCACCAGAAGTTAAGTCATCTTTATATTTTTTCAGGAAGTAAAGAGCTTTCTAATAAACAAATGATTAATCTTCTGTAACTTAATTTAGAATTGTTTGTTCTATTATTTTTACTTTATAGTAAATATGTTTGAATTACTACTTCAATAGGTTTTTTGGGGGAAAAAAATGTAAGCTTTAGCTTGGTTTTTTTTTTTTTTGAAAGGAAAAACAGTATAGATTTCTTAAACAATGTAATGGATCAATAAGTAAGTCATAAAGTTAAGAACTGCAGCTTCGGGCATAACAATGAGCCCTAAGAAAGCTTGTTGGGATTTTAGAATAATTCTCAAATAGCAATTCCTCTTTTTCTCTCTTTCAAATATAGCCTTCTAGCAGTGGAAGAACAGCTGAACTTCTAGCCAAAGAGCAAGGAACTGTTCCTGGATTTGTTGGCTTTGGCACCTCTTCAAGTGACCTGGGATATGTCCCTGCAATTCAAGGAGCTGAAGAAATAGATAGCCTTATAGATGCTGATTTTCGAATGGTGCTAAGAAAACTTTCCAAAAAAGATGTCATAACCAAGTTAAAAGTAGGCTTGTTATATTGGATTTAAGGGGTCATTATTTATTGATTAAATGTGTATGTTTTGCAATTTCTATAAAGTTTTTGATCTTATAGTTTATTTGTAGTTTGTATTTTTTAAAAAATAATTTTAAATTATTAAATTTAAATTTATAATTGCTATAATATAGAAAAAAATATCAAAAGACAAAAGCAGAAAAATAACAAAAACATACATTGCATATAAAAATCACTCAGCTACATTTTTAAACACACATGACTGCATGGAATATCATATCAATATATAGATATACAATATAGCTCACAAAGAGAAAATGAATAAATAGCAATATTTCACAATTTTAAATCTGGATTATGTAATTTTTTTGGCTCCTACCCATATTAATAGATTATAGTTCCTCATTTATCACTTATAGTGATAAGTTCCAGATTTTGGATATAAAATTCAATACTAATTACATTTTTAAACCATACTGATTTTTGTCATACCATTTTAACAAACTTATGGATATTAAACCGTGACAACGGAGCAAGCAACTTCCTACTGGAAGTTGAATAACTTAATAAGCTTTCCAATTATTGCACAAAATAAGTAAATGTTGATATAGTATATAATATGTTATATTTATCTATTAAAAATAATACATTATCAGGTATAATAACAATTTGTAGTGACCTTGAACCATTGTTATACTGACAATGTTTTCCATTTACTTAATAAGGGAGGTCAAAGGTTCTGATATAAAATTTAAAATAAAAACCTGTAAGGGACATCTGTGATGAATTCAACCAGACATCTTGATAGGAAAAGAGGTAATTGTACTTGTAATAACTGTAGCAAAAGAATAGAGTATCACATATCAATCCAATCAAAATATATTGCACCTTTATTTATTTATGTAAACTATATAGCCACCCATCTAACTTATTGTGCAGAATAAGAAAATGTGCTGGATAGGGTGAGACTGAAGCCTGGAGATGGTTGTGTTGGATGCCAGGTTTTTGTCTGTTGCTTTTATTGTTTCTTTGGTTTTAAGGCTGTTGTGAGCTGCCTAGGGTTGGCTTTCTTAAGATTGGTGGCCATATAAGTCTAATAAATAAGTAAACAAATAAATAGGTTCTTTAATAATGTATTGTACACACAGTATCAGTTGCAATACATGAGCTTAATTCATAATAATCACCATAAAAGAAAACATATAATAATAATGGGTAATCATCAGCTTTTTAAAAAAATCTTATTTTCATTATTTTTAATTTTAGGCTATGCAAGAATTTGGGGTAATGTGCAAAGAAAGAGAGACAGAGATTGTTAAAGGAGTTCTACCTTACTGGCCTAGAATTTATTGTAAAATTTCTCTTGTAAGTACCGAAATTGATATTTTATTTATCTATATGTCATATTTATGTAACTGCTCATTTCACACAAAGTGACACATATTTATGGGAAGAGCTTGGCCAAGGCTGCTGCTTTTAATTAACTGAAGTAATTATCAGAGATGAATATAAAGTTCTGTTTGTACCTCTTGGAAGGTTAATTTGTTCTGCAGAAAGCCTAGAATTTGATATAGCAGTAGTAGTGCTCTAGTATGGTATGCAAAGCAGTACATAAAAGCAGAGATTAATGTTATGTATATTTTTAGCCATAAGATATGAGTCAGTAAAATTTGCTTTAGAGAAATATGTAATCTGAAATTGTTGATATGTATAGTGAAATTATATAATTATTGTTGTACTTGTCAATATTTATGGCAGGATCATGATCGCCGAGTCCGGGAAGCAACGCAGCAAGCTTTTGAGCAGCTTATTTTGAAAGTCAGAAAACATTTAGCTCCTCATTTAAAAAGCATTATGGGATATTGGCTAATAGCTCAGTGTGATATTTATTCTCCAGCAGCATCAGCAGCACAAGAGGCATTTGAAAAGGCCTTTCCACCAAGCAAACAATCTGAAGCCTTAGTGTTTTGTAAAGATGAAATTTTAAATGTAAGTTTTCAAGTTTGCATGCTTTTTAATTTTCTTTAATACATAATTAAAAATTACAAAAATAATATGCTATGGTTACCGAAAGAAGTCCAACAGAAACGGTTTTTTGCTTTTATACTTGCTAGATGTTTTCCTAGTTATCAGGTGTCCAATAATTGCCATTTTTAAAATGATGATTTGTGCTTTCTAGTGGCCTGGGACTGCCTAGATGAGTTCATGCAGTTTTCTTGGCAACATTTTTGGAAGTGGTTTGCCATTACCTTCTTCCTACAGCGAAGACTGGCTCAAAGTCAACCAGCTGGTTTCATGCCTAAGGCAAGACTACAACTCATAGTCTCTCAGTTTGTAGCCTGATGCCTTAGACAACGACACCAAATAGTATTTAAACCACAATAAATAAATAAATAAATAAATCTACTGGAACCTCCTTAATTAACCTTCTCTGAGGTCACAAGAACTATCGAGTATAGTTTCAGTGAGCCTTATTATAATTCATGTATGTGATTAAAAAAAAATTCTTCCTGAAAATTATTTTGAGTTTATTATATGAAACTCAAATTTAGAAATAATATTTTTTATTACTGAAATGTTTTCAAACAGTTGTTAATAGATAAATCATTTAGATCATGCTAGTGTCTGGTAATAGCCATATTAGCAGTTGTAATCAGGTAGGCCATAAGTGGCTTATCTTTTAAATTCTTATTTGCATTATTATATATTTGTAGCAAAGCCACCATTGCTGCTTTTATTATTTATTGATAAGAGCTTTTATATTTTTAGTAATATCTCTTATTCTAGAATATCACCACAAACATACATAACAAGAATTAGTGTGACAGCATTTCCACCAAAAACTGCAATTGGTTTCTGAATAGGTAATGGTTTGTCTTGTTATACTATCTGTACACTACATTTAAAGTTTAATCCTTTATATTTGAAGAGACAGATTTAAGTAAAGACAATTGATAGCCAAGTCTTCATCTGTATTTTAGATTGGCAATCCAGAGTCCCTCTTTGAGAATCCAAGAATCTTGATAATCATTAGATAATCTCTTAAGAAAAAAAAAATGCAAAGCTACACTTATTTGGATTCATATCATAATAATTTTAAATTAAAGGAAATATAACATTGTAATACTGTATTTTCTTTCCTTTTAAAAACATTTATTTATTTCTCTGCAAATCGTCGTGTATTTTTTTCCATTTAAGGACATCTGACTGTTTTTTGTCCAGGTGCTACAAGATAATCTTTTGAAAGAAACTCCTGATACACTAAGTGATCCACAGTATGTACATTTTTATCCCTTTAGAAAAATAAATTGATTTTGTATTAACACACAAATAAGTACTGTATGTAAAAAGATATATCTTGAAATATAGGAAATGAAGTATGTTTAAGGTCTGTCATGTCAGGTGACATGAAACATTTTCTCCCAGTTAAGTTTTCTTTTCGGAGACCTCCTCTGGTAGTTTTAATAGCTGGAAGAGGCTTCTGTGCACAGAACCTTCTTCTGGCCATTGGAACTGCTGGTTCTAAGCTTCAACATCATATTAAGTACCTTTTAAAGTTGATGGTTGTTGCCTTTTCACATTAATGAAAATTGTGTTGTTTCTGCACAGCAAATCACCTTGTTGACAGAAAATCAGCTGCATCTCATGTATTCTGATTTCTCTGTGCAGTTTTTCTACATGCATTAATAAGAAATGATACTTATTGGGCTTTTATGCAACTCTAATCGCTACTGACATGTGGGCTCAATAACATTCTGTCAATGTCAGGTTTCCTATAGGCGTATTGGAAAACTTTATAGGTAACTATCTTGGTAGATAACTATCTTGCCAACAAAAACTGCTGGATCAGAGCAATACTTAATTTTGAATAGTGCCTCTGTCTGCTATTCCTTGATCAGTACAGTGTGATTTCCTCATTTGGATTAGGAAAACATGCAGTTGGGGAAATGTTATTTTTGCTCATAGGCAAGGAATAAATGACTTCCAAGGGAAGTTAAAAAAAAACAAAAACTGACAAACAAAACAGTGAAATTTTGGAAGCGAGTATTTATTTATTTGTAGTAGTAATAGACCTACGTAGTTTATACATACATAAAGTGAAGTTTCTGGTTTTCAGAATATGAGTGTGTTGTCTTTAACAAGAGATTTAAAATCAAATATGAAAAAAATATACTGACAATTGAATTTGTAAGCTTATGCTCTTGTGTTTTTTATTCAGAGCAGTGCCAGAAGAAGAAAGAGAAGCCAAATTTCATCGAATTATAACCTGTTCTTTGCTATCTTTAAAGAAATTGCTTTGTATGATGCCCAGTACTGAGATTAAGTCATTAGAAGAGAGGCTTAAGACACTATTCTCTCAAAACAAATTTTGGAAATATGGGAAACATAACATAGCACAGGTATTTTTACCATTTTACATTCCTCAAACATTTATTCTAAAACATATCTTAAATATAAAATAAGAACATTTTTAGTTATGGGCATTAAGATTGGTTTTTGTTTTAATCACAAAACCAATTTTTCTTATTTACTGAATTTGGCTGAAGAAATTCTTAGAAAAATCTCTTAAAATGACAGCTAGCATTATTAGTGCAATTTTTGAAATGGTAATATTGTTTAAAGTCCTTTAAAAATGGTGATGAAGTTTGCATTCCAATTTCCTAATTATTAGGTAGTGTCTTATATCCCAAGTTCTCAAAACATTAGTCCTGGACAAGAACCATTCATGTGCAGGAGGTTTTGAAGTATTAGAACACTTCAGGTGGTCCTTGACTTATGACCACAATTGGGACGAGAATTTCCATTGCTAAGTGATGCAGTTGTAAAGCGAGACATGTGACTGCATTGCGTAGTGACAGCAGTCCTGGCATTTCCATTGCTGTTGTTAAGCAAATTCCACTGGTCGTTAGCCAAGGACCCACCCCAATCCAAGACATTCTAGGCTTGGTCCCTCCCAGCCTTGAGCCTCAGTAAGGTAAGGGACTGCTTCCAATTCCCCCTACCTGCCTATGTCCCCCCTCATCTCTATCTTGTTGGCTGCCCTGCACCCTGCCTTGCAGGACAGTAAGCAGCCCCAGAATCGTGCGGCTTCTTGGCCCTCATTCCCCCTTTTCTTGCTCACATGCACCAATGCCCTCCTTTTCCCTTTACTCGCATGTACTGCATCCTTCTTCACTTGCTCGCACACACCAGTGCCCTTTTTTGCTCGCACACACCACTCCCTCCTTTGCTTGCTTGCATGCACTGTGACCTTCTTCCCTCCTTCACTTGCTTGGACGCACTGTGCCCTCCTTTCCTCACTCTCATGGACCAGCGCCCTCCTTTCCCCTTCAACAGCTGTAACTTCAGGAACCAGTTGCAAGTCAATTTTTTCAGCACTGTCATAACTTCAACAGTCGCTGAATGAATGGTTGAAATTCTAGGACTACCTGTATTTCATAACGGTTTTCTTAGAAATTATAACTATTATAGTTATTAAAGTAGTTTCATAATTTTCTACCATATGCTATTTTGTATTTTAAAATGCAACCTATATCACTCAGTTATCTTTTCACATTCCTCTTAATGTTTAAAAAGCTATTGCTGGAATTCTTTAAAAATCATGAAGTTCAGGGAGTGGAAGGGAAAAAGGGAAATTTTGAAAATATTGTTGCTGTATATACAGGTAGTCCTTGTTTAGCAACTGCAATTGGTTCCGGTGACTTGGTTGTTAAAGTGGTTACTAAGTTATAATCATATGGCTGCAACTGTGCTTATGATTTTACTTCAGTTTTCCTTTGCTTTGTGTCAGAAGGTACAATGGTATGTGGGAATGACCTTGGGAGACAGGGCAAAGAGACACAGGGAACGGTCAGATAAAAGGCAGCTTAGCCCACAACAGGAATGTGGGTGGGGTAAGAGGCTCAGAAGAGACCCTCCCTAGTTTCTTGGCCTGTAAAGAGGACAGGGGAGAGGTATACTTTTAGACTTGCAAGATTCTGTTAATGTAGCCTTATAGTAAAGTAGAATTAGTTCATCTGGCTATATTTTCTGTCTGGTCTACCTCGCAAAGCTGACAGAAAGATATGACCCCAAACAGTTGGGTGAGCCCAAACAGCAGTTTCTGGAACTCAAAAGGAAAGAGGAAACCAGGTAAAAGGACAAAACTTATAACCCTTTTTCCCCCTCCCCTGTCCTTTGGAATGCTCACCTGGGCACTGGGATAATTAGTAAGAAGATAATTAATGTTTGTATTTACATTCATTGGAGAGGAAGGGATTACAAGAGAGTAAACAGGCACACAATGGGGAATACACATCGAAAGGAATGCTCTACTGTCAGCTGTTTGCTGCTTAGGAGGCAAACAAAAGCCTTTAATGTGAAACTGATTAGGGTCTTGTCAATGTCAGGCAGCAGCACCAGTCAGCCAGAGGGTTCTAATCAACTAATTAAGGTCACAGAGCTGAGCTTGTTAACTTGCAGTTAGCACTTTTTAGGGATGTGCTATATTGCAGAGAAAAGCAGCTCACGAAGAGAAAGCTTGTTTAGGCAATCTCCCTGCTCTGCAAGGCAGGGGGAAGGGAAAAAAAATGGATCAGGCACAAGACAAGTGTACTAACTGACTGAAATGGTGAACACATGACTGACAGATACTGCAAAAGTTATAAATGTGGGCATTGGCTGTAATGTTACTTTTTCATCATCATTGCAACTGCAAATGGCCGCTGTCCAAGGCAGTTGCTAAACAAGGACTACTTGTATTCTCATATATATATGCCTAAATGGCTCTTAGGATCAGAGTTGGTAATTAGCTTTTCATAAGAATGTTATGTGATTGTCCAGTATTGAGGTAATACAGGCAGTCCTCACTTAGGAACCACAATATGGACTGGCAACTCTGTTCTAAGCAATACAGCTGCTAAGTGAAATATCACATGACCGTGACATACTTACGTTATTTCCCATTTGGTCGTTAGGTGATTCACCGCATATCATTAAGCAACAGATCATGTGACCATGACTTACATTTTTATTGCCAGCTTCTCAATTGACTCTGCTTGTCAGAAGCTGGTTGTGAAGGGCACAAATTGTGATCATGTGACTTCAGGGTGCTTCAACAATCATAAACACCCATTGGTTGCGAAGCATCTGAATGTTGATCATGTGACTGCAGGGACACTGCAATAGTCATAAATGCGAGGACTGGTTGTAAAGTTATTTTTTCAGTGCTGTTGTGACTCTGAATGGTTGCTAAACAGGGCAGTCATTAAGCAAGGTTTACCTGTACTGTAATCCTACCTACATGAAAATATTCAGGCTTCCTCCTGTTCTATTTTAGATTCGTTCTGCCTTTTTTGAGATGGTTTCTACTTTTTGCAAGCACATTCCTGAGTCCATGAATGCAGAAGCATCGAGAGTTTGTCCAGCTGTTCTTCTTAGCATTGATGACAGTGATGCTGTTGTATGCCTTGCTCTTTGGGAAGCTGCACTTCATGTCCTTACTACTGTTGAGGTAATGCTGGAAGCCACAATGAAGCCATTACTTATCTCATAGGCACCTTTCAGATTATACGTCTGAAAAAAATATTTAATGAATAAGCAGATCTCATTTTGATTATACGTTTTCATCTAATATAGCCAAGATATATTAACATTTCACTGATAATTTGGCAGAAAATTTAAATGGGTAGCTTTTTAGCTTTTCAGATCAACGTTTTACAACAGTTTTTACTTTATGAACCAGTATTAATGTCTTCATTAGTTATGGACACCTTAATGTCTCTCTCTCTCTCTCTTTCTCTCTCCAAATAGCTTCTTTAATATCAAGATAAGAAGGTTGCTTCTTTCAATATCAAGTAACTAGGTATTCTTTAATTTACTGCTTCACATTTATTATTCTGTAGGATTGTTGGAATCACGTGAATGCAAAAAAAGGAGTTCTACCAAAATTGTGGACGGTGCTTCAAGAAGGAGGAAGGGGTCTTGCTACAGTTATATATCCTAATATCTTGCCACTTATTAGCAAGGTGCCTCATAATGTTGCAGATCCAAAGTTGGACTTTTTAACAACATTCTTCACCTCCATAGTTAAAGGGTATGACCATTATTAGTGAAAGCTTTTTTTAATCAAATAAAGCTTATCTTTGTGTGTGTGTGTGTGTGTGTGTAGATAGTATTTGTGTTACATTTGGAGATGTATATCAGGAAATAGTTGAATTTGAAAACTGCAGATACCAAGCTGTATGAAACTGTTAAAGTAGCATCTTATGAATGTTTGTAAACTTTCCTCCAGTTAGCATTTTTTTGTTTTGTTATGTTTTTAAGTTATGTTTCTGATGCTAATTTTATAGTTGCAATCACTTAAAGCACCACATAAATCTACTTATACATTATAACATTATTTAATCCCATGTGAATATGGGAACTAACATAGTTCATTCTGATCTTAATTTTCTGTTTGCTTAGGCTATTCACTGAAAGAGCTATGGTTTGTCGCTCAGAATCTTCAGCAATCATTTCAGCTTTTATGGAGTGTTTGCAATTTACTGTCCTACAGAACATAGGTGAAGAAGAAGAACAAGTTAAAATACAAGAAATGCTTGTAAACGTCCAGGTATGTTATCATGGTGATAGTAAAATAATGCATTAGCTTTAAAGATTTTGAGTTTGTAATTGATTTTTTTAACAATACTAGATCAGTGAGTTTAGTTTGCACCAAATATCAATCAGTTTCCAGTTGAAATATGCTCCTATGAATCAGCAAAAATGTTATCTGAAAAAAAATATTTTTCATAATATTTGTTTCTGTTCATAGTATTTGTTTCTCTTGGCACTAAAAGGCTACTTTGGTGATTCCCCCCCCCCCCAGTAATGTTAGAACTTCCTTACCTATGCCTAGTTACATGGAGAAGTCATGGCATTACATAGTCAATTAGATTTAGCTGTGCAATAATATCAGAGTGAGGGTAATGAAATGAAACATTACTGATGTCAGGATGTATTATATAGGTAAACATTTCCCCTTTACATGTCAGTGAGGCTTCTGTTTTCTCTGATTATATTATTTCTGGCTTGCACACAGCATTGTCCTGGATACATACCTATTCTCTTCCCTCTGTCCCCACTCCTGCCCATGAGATGAACTTTTATCCATATGCACCTGTAAAAAATAGCTAAAAATAAAAGGAGTATGCTTTATAGGTTGAAACAGTTTTCAAAAGAGATTAAAATTCATGTGTTTTTTCTTTACAGTTAATTCCTCTCATCAATACAGTAATTAAAGAGCCCAAGTTACAAAATGGACCTTTGTTTTATGAAGTAGCAGACATGCTGAATGTTTGGAAAACAAAAGCAGAAATAACTAATGATGATAGAACATCCCTCACTTTTCAGAGAATGTTATCTAACTTTTGGGATGGCCTTTCAAATATATGTGTGGAACATGTTGCTGTAATGGATGCAGATGAGAAATCGTTGGCTGCTGTGTCTTCTTTGTTACAAATTCTTCAGAACCCAGAAAACAAGATGAGAAGAAATAGAAAAAAACCCGTAAATATAAGATTTGCAGAAGACAGAAAAGCTGAAATTAACACCGAACATGAGAATTTCATTGACATGAGAACTAGCAATGAATCCAGTAATATTATTCATGAAATTCACGGGAAACACACTTGTCTTCCTCAGATTGAACCTTTAGAAGATTTAGTTTGTAAACTTGCAGAACTAAGTATAGTGTACACCAGTCAACAAACGTCTGACCAACACTTAAAGTTCCTCTCTGCTCTACTCAGCAACTTTGCTTCTAGTAAAGTTTTCCAAGTGCTTGTAGAAGAAAGAGACTATATTCAGTATGAAAATCCATCCATTCAGTTTCTGTATGAAAAGTTAATTGATTGGCTAAAAGAAGATTGGAGAAAAGAGACTGACTTCTTGGTTGATATTTTATATAGCATTCTCCATTGCTGCAGCAATACCATAGAGAGGGAAAATATTCTCAATGATTTAACAAAGGTACATTTTTCTTATGCAGTAAATTAATGTCATTCAATTTGTTTTTATGCATTATATTAGACTAATTAGAGTTTGGAATGGTAATGTTTCACTTGTTTCTGTGGCTTACCAAGTAACTTGCATAAATTTCTTAATATTCAGAATTAGAATTGGAGATGTATCTGCTTTTCAAGCCAACATGTTAAAACAATACCATAAAGAGCAGCACAAAATTAGCAGCTGCTTCATACCACCATGCTAATCAGGGATGCTGTGTAACAAGTAGTGTTGAAGGCTCATTAAATTCAGTTTTATATATCAAATAAATATATTTTCTAGGTTTTGGAAGGTTAATCAGGAAGAGGCAACATCAGTCTTCTGAGGCATAGTTTCATACTCTAAGTATTGTGAACATTCAGGTCCTTGTCTACATTTTTACTATCCATACTTTCTGCTGATAGGACAAATAAAGTACTTAACATACTTAAGGAGGAAGATTAACTTTTCCCCAAGTAGGCTTTCTCTGACTAGGGATTCTCTGGTGAGGCATTCCCAATGAAAGTAGATCTCATGCAAATATAGTCTAATTTTTATGCTGAATAAAGGAATGAGATGTTCTAGGTGGAGCATATATACATACATGTGTCTTCAGGAAGGAAGTACAACTCAACTCAACTTCTTGTTGTTAAGAAATACAGTATTTAGTAGGGCCATGCAGCAGTCCAATTTGGGCAGCAAAGATGATTCAGAGAGCATGTAAATGTTGCATATGTTGGCACCTCCTTAGATCAAATAATTATTTTTCTGGGATTGTGCAGCTTTTTAACAGGTATAACATACATGCCCATTCATATTCTCATTCACCTTTTTTCCTCTGAATCTATTATCACTGACTAATATTATGTTATTCTGGAAAATTGTTCAGTTTCTGTCATGTTTTGATGCTATTTCTTTTTCTTTTTAAGATGGATCTAAAATGGAATATTCTTCTTCAAATAATCCAAAAGGTACGTTCAAGTCCCCCCACCCCCCAGGTTGCTTCAGTATGCACAGGTATTTCAGTTGTTCCTTCTAGTAATGGCTCTCTGGGTCACTGTTCCTTTGGGATGAATGAATTCCTGTTGCTTGCCAACAAAACCAGCTGCTTACCCTCCTTTGCCTGCCTGCAGATAATTTCTCATTGTGTGAACGTTTCTGACTGCAAAATATACTTTCTTATTATTATGTTAAAGTGACTGATTTCTTTATATATTATATGGGTAGATAATTTGGAAGTTATAATTTGGAAGTTACTATGAAAAATTATATGAGAGCAGCCAAGAGGACACTGCTTGCCTTTCTGCATATGAATGGCTTCCATGTTTCTTTTCTGCTCAGTCACTGAGAATACTAAAATATACCTGGGAAAAGACAGGCCTTCAAATAACCAGACCCCAAGCCATGTGGGGTTTTAAAGGTAATAACCAGCACATGAATTAGACCCAGAAGCAAATTGGCAACCAGTGCAGCTCCTGCAAAAGAAGTGTCATATACACAAATCTAGACTTGTGCAAAACTATGCAGGGTGCTGCATTTTGAACCAAGTTAAGCTTCCAGATGCTCTTCAAGGGCAGCCCCATGTAGACGTGTTGCAATAGTCCAAATGGGAGGTGACTAGGGCATGGGTGACTGTGAGAAGGACATGGTGGTCCAGGAATGGGCACAACTGTCGCACAACTCATAGCTGTGCAAAGGCCCTCCTGGCCATGACAGCCACCTGCTCCTTGAGCAGGAGTTGCGAGTCCAGGAGAACCCCCAGATTATTACAAGAATTTGTTCTTTCTTAGAAATTGATAGTCTGTTTTTCAAGATTCCTTTCTGGAAGGAAAATTCTAGTTAACTGTGATTTAACCAAGTCTTTAAACAAATGGTCATAAGTCAAGGACTACCTGTATATATAATGCTTTTATGGGTCTTGACTTATTTAATATCTTGAAGAATGCATTTTAAAAGCATAAAATATATGTTTACTATTAATACAGATTTTTATAATAAACCAAGAGGTTTATTTGGAGATTAAATAAGTAAACAATGACTTTGGAAAATATTTGTGTACTTTCTATACATTAGGCCTGTTCAAACTCTGAGAAACATTCCTTAAGTTCTACGTGGCTAAAAGGAGATGTGTTAGGTGAGAAGCTTGTGTCCCTGGCCAATGATCTGTGTAACATCAGCTTGAAGATGACAATAGCTTCAGCCGAATCATTTCATTCAGAACAATGGACTCTCCTAAGCTTGGTATTATCTCAGTTGATTAAAAATGGTAAGTGGTTCAGACTTTTATAAAGAGTAATAGACTTCTAGGAGGACTGGAAGGCTAGCTTGTCATGGATGGAACATTTGAGACACTAGTATCGGTAAGTTGGGCAATATTGCATTTATCTTATATGTTAATAAAAAGCCAGAGTTTTTGTCAGAATGCTAAAAATGAGGACTCTCTCATAGTAGCAGAGCCAGTTTATTCAGACTGGAGAGTCTATGATTAAAATCAACAAAATGTCTCTTTTAATCCATAGAGTCCTTAATTGGAGAAGTTTATGTTAAAAGAATAATTGACAAACTTCAAGCAGCTCTGTCAAAAGCTAAGGATCTTTCCGAAGCTGGAAATACAGAACCATCAGTGTCTTTCATCTGTGACATAGCCTCTAGTTTTTTCACTTCGGTTAAAGGATGTTTAATGATGCCATCCTCTGAAGATTTGTTATTCACTATTTTCCAGTTATGTGCACAGAGCCAGGATGTAACACGTTTATCAGGTACATTTGCTCATGTATGTATGACCAATTCCATATTGGTCTATTTCTTACCTCCTATTTGTAGCTGTAAATATTGAAAGTTGTTTATTTTCTTATCTTATTGATTGCCACACAGATGGATTTATCATAGTAAACCATATCAAATATATGTAACAAAACAAAATAACTAAAAATTAATCAAATACAGTTATTACAAAAATGGTGATCATGCCTTCAGATAGAAATATCTGGGAAAACAAAACTCTTGCATTTAAGCATATGCAATTATTTAAACATGAACTGGAACTGCACCTTTTTTCAGTTGAGAGGTATACAATTTCTTAAAAAACAATCTTGGTACAAACATAAACAATTTAATTCTGTAAAGCAGAATAAGGATGGAGCAGGCTTAGGACTATTTAGCAAGCAGGTATAGCAATGTGTTATTTCATGGTAAAACGTGCAATTACTGGGTTAAGACAGTTAATCTTCTGTAACTGAATGCATAACAACTTTTACTAAGTATCATTTGATAAACTTTTTTTCCCTCATAAAATAGTTTAAAAATCATTGGAAAATAAGAACATAGCTTTTTTGTTTAAGCGACTCTCAAGAACATGATTCTGTTCATAAGCTTTTAGTTTTACAGCATGATTAATGTGTTTAGTAGTTAAAACTCTGGTCCATTTTTTTCGTTCATGTAGATTTCCTTGTAAATAAATTGAAACATACTTGGTTGTGTGGCATAACTTCACTTGTGCATCAGCTTAGCATTCTGCATAAGGAGAGCAGCTTCCTGCAAAAATCTGCATTCTGGGTCAAGAACCAGCTTCAGACATCAGTGTTGGATGTAAAAAGGTAGCTCTAGAATGCACTCCATAATTTCTTTGCTCAAGCTAACCATCCCTCAGCCTAGCATTGATTTAAAAATATCCTATACATAGGATTTCATATTTCATCCTGAGATCAAAATTCATTTGGTTTAAAAGCATGATTTTTATTATTAATGTTGGTGCTGCTGTAACTGTTAACCATGCTTAGGAGTAAAGGATTTGGAAGAAGTGCAGAGTTGTATAACCTTTTTCCAATCTTAGGCCATGCTAAGGAGACAGGTGACATCGACTCAGTTCATATGACATACCAACTATAGTTTGGAGCAATATTTCGGAAGCAAAACATATTTATTGCATTATAACCATCTTTCAAATATAACATATTTCATTTTCCCATCCTGCCTCTTGGTTCTTGTTCATTTTCCTGTAAAGTAAGTTTTACTGAGATTAAGTGACTAGCCAGTTAACTTCACCATTACTCAGCTTTAATCTACCACATTGACTTGTCTTCCACATATACATGCAAACCATGGATTATTCTGTATGTTGTGTTGTTGTTGTTAAAATGTATATGCTACCAAATCATCCAGATTTACCTTCCAAACTAAAACTCATGAAACTACAATTATAGGCCATTACAGAGATTATTTTAATGCTCATTGAATGAGCCTGAGGTTTGCTGAGGCTCATTCTGATAATACTAAATCATAGTTTAATAGTTGGTCTTAGTCATTGTGTGTCTATTTTACTATATATGTGTTTTTCTTGAACTGAAAAGCAGGTATTTTGCTATTATCTGAATTTTATATCAAGTAAAATGTTGGTTTATTATCAGTTTGCAGGTTTTGATCTCTGTGGTCAATGACTTGTTGACTACATTGCTAGAAGCTGAAGATGTTTCTGCTTGTGTTCTGAAAGATTATATTGAATGGCTTACTCCAAGCCAGACTGAATGGGAAAAGATGCGGGAGTCTCTATCCAGTGAGGTATGTAAGCTATTGCAAAATTGATACATGATAAAGAGTAATCTTCAGCATTTGTATATTTACCTGCCTAGATTCTTTCATTTAAGGAATCCTGCATTAATTACCCTAAGATTAAAATAAATGAAAGGTGTAAGAATGATATTGTTATTATAAAATATACATTATAATATACTTTTCATCCTTTTGGCATAATTGTAATTAGAAACAGAAACCTGTGCTTAGATACAGTATTTCAGATATGTTGATCCCCAAATTTGTTGTAGTATAGTAACTAGTTATTTAAATTATGGAATCATAGAATTGGAATATACCATAGACGTTGTCTAGACTAAGCCCTTCATTAAGTGCAGAATCCACAATAACATCTCTGACAGATGACTATCCAGCTTCTATTCAAAGGCCTCTGGTGAAGGAAAAAATCACCACATGATGATCCAGATCTCTTTTATCGAAACTAGTGCTAAACCAGGTCTCTTTTATCCTATACCATGCTCTTTGGGTGCAATCATTCAACCAACTGTGAGACTATCTCACTAGTAGCATCTAACCCATATGTTACCATTTTAGTAAAATGGAAAAGAGAATATCAAGGCACTATGTTGAAGGCTTTGCTTAAGTAGACTTTGTTTACAGTGTTCCCTGATCTCCTGAGCTAGTAACTAGTCACTGAAAGAGATAAGGTTAGCCTGGGATGATATGATTGTGACAAAGTCATGCTGGCTTCTATTAATTGTAGCATGCCTATCTCATAAACATGCTGCTTGAAAATCTGTTCAAAGATCTCTCCCAGTATAGAAGTCAGTCTGACAATGCTGAGTATACAGTATCCTGTAACTCAGAGTTTATTTTATTTTATTTATTTTATTTATCAAATTTGTAACTGCCCATCTTGTTTTACAAGACTCTAGGTGGTTTACAACAAGATAAAAATTCATTAAAATACAACATAAAACAATCCTAAAAATAAATAGGTTCCAAGAAGAATAGTCTGAAATATCTGGTTTGTTATGACTCTATCATATAATTATGTGGCAAATAATGAATTTCTGCAAAGAACAGAATCCATTGGAAAACCATATTTCATTATCTCTTGCTTTAAAAATTTAATCTGAACCCAGTCAAAGGCTTTTTCTGCACCTAGGTATGCTAGTATAGCAGAGACCATTCTGTTTGTGTGTGTGTGTGTGTGTGTGTGTGTGTGTGTGCACGTGCGTGCAAGTGTGTGTGCCTTTAAGTCAGTGTTGACTCCTGGTGACTGCCTGGACAAGTCCTTGCAGTTTTGCAAGATTTCAGAAATGGTTTGCCATTGCCTTCTTCCCAGAGCTGAGAGAGAGTAACTGCCCCAAGGTCACCCAGCTTGGCTTCATGCCTAAGGCGGGACAAGAATTTACCGTATCCCGATTTCTAGCCTGGTGCCTTAATCACTACAAAAAACTTAGTTATATCCAATATATCAATGAATATGTATACGTATATAATCTGATGCTTGTTGAATTTTGATGAACTGGGAAGAGTGAATTATGTATAATAAAACCTTCTGCAATTGTCTAGTCAATAAAGTAGTTAGAATCTTAGTATCCATGTTAATTAATAAAATAAGTCTTATAACTAGTGCACAATTTAGGATCTTTATCTTATATAAGCTTCGTAAAATGATAGAGGGAATTTATCAGATGTAAAAGATTCTTGATACATCTCTGAAAGTGTAGGGCCCAGCAAATCTGCAAACACTTTGTACCATTCCATTAAAAAAACATCCAGGACAGGAGCATTACCATTTTTTGCAACAGCTGTATCAATTCAGATAATTCCTCTAGCAACAAAGGAGCTTTCAAAGTATCAGTATTGTCCAATGATAAAGATTAAATATCCACCTGGCACAAAAATTGATTAGCTTCATAATTTTCCCCCTTCTCCTCCAGACCATATAATAACTTATAAAAAAGGAAAAAACTATTATTAATAGGTTCTGGATCTAACATTGGTAGCCGTTTCAGAAATTATGCTGTGTTGTTTCTGTTGCTTCAAATGATGATTTGAGATCATGACTGAACAACAACAAAAAAAACATTGGGTTTTTTTTTTAACCTTGTGCACCATGCAATGCTAGCGCTTGCAGCAACAGGCCTACTGTTTTGCTGTTGTTGTAAAAATTGTAAAACTTGAATTGTGTAGGTTAAAAGTGAATTGTTTTGTGCAG